TGTTAAATTAGTACTATTCAATACAGAGACTTCACCAATGAGCCTTAAGGACTTTGTTCCTTCCCTGAACATATTAGGACTTCCTACCTTCCTTTCTATCCTAAATAGAAAAGTGAAATCATTGCCAGTGTTTAGGCTCTAGGCAGTTTTTGGCCTCAAGTTTTGTTCTCACAGTTTCTTCTCCCCCCAGTGCAGAGGCAGTGATTATGCCTGTGCTGATCTGACGTGTTGGTGCCTGTGTGTGCAGGAACCTCTCCTTGCCAGGGAGGCTCTGCCTGGGCACCCAGCACAGGAGTGTTGATCACACTGAGCTGAGACTGAGCCCAATATCACAGGGTGGTGTTCCTCCTCCTGCATAACCACCTGGAACAAAGGCATTCCCATCATCCATGGATTTTTATCATTATTTAACCCCCAGGCTTCCTGAAGTTGGAAGAAGGGAATTCATGAGAGGGTGACAGCACTGTGTCCTCAGTTTACTTTGAGACATAGAACTAGGTTTTGAGGTTTGAAAATGAGCCTTCTTCTCCCAAGTTTACTTCCTGTTGCTCTTATTCCTTTTGCTACTTCAGCTGCAGAAGCCAGAGTAGTTTACTTCCTATTGTCTTCTTGGAATTATGATATTTCCCCCCAAAAACTAATTTATATTTCTTAAAATTATAGAAGCCAATGGATTGTTTGTCACTAGGCATTCAACTTTTGCCACATTTGAATTTATACCAGACTCTGGTATTCTGACTTACAATATCATACTTCAGTTGGAGTTAAGAGTAATTTATTTATTGAATATTACTTCAGCTTGGTGGATCATAATAAAGGGAAAAACAATCATCTGCATTTAGAAATACAAATATATAACTCTTCTGCTTATGTTACAATGAGGATGGTGAAGAACACTAAGGACTGAAAGGATCAAATAGGAGGCTACAAAACCCAGGAACTTACTAGATTTTTATTTATAAAATCTTACAAGCTAAGAGGGGATCCAAACGCTCCACTGACTTCCAGGGACATGCATTAAGTGTTAAGCAGATATTCCATTCAGAGCACTTTCTTGTGTAAAAAGGATTCTTTTGTTTGTGAAATTTTTCAGCTATTAGGTGAATCTATAATATGCCCTTCTCTAGTGCCTGAAACTGCTGTTGGAACTTGCATTCATTCTCATATTCAAAATGATGTAATGAGAAAACAGCTAATGTACTTAGGTTTTTTTTTTAAGGAACTAGCATGAAAAGTCTTGGAACACAAATTTTGGTAATTAACATGTTTGCTGACAAAAGCTATTTGTGTGCTGATGGCAAGCTGCTTCCGAACTGTATTTTATGTGCAGATGAAACTGCATGTAGGTACCTTCAGAGCTGGAACATGCCTGATACCAAGCACCTTTCCTATCTTTTGGTAAAGTGCCTGAAGGGCAGGATTGAGAGAAATTGCTTGGGTATGGATAAAGACCTTCAAGGGTAAATCTCAACTACGAGGATAATTTATACCCTCTTTTAAGAGACTGTGTTGTGGGTCATTTCTATTGCAGGGTAATGTGATGGAGCACAATGCTGCTGCTGAAGCTGAAATATCCCTTAGGTGTCTATTGAATCCATTAGGCTCTGAAAATTGCAGCTCACTGATTATTGACTTACTCTGCAACAGTTTAGTTTGTGTGTGGAGCTTTCACTATCAAAAAGCTCTGGCGATTCCACGTTAGAAAGTAATTTTCCATATGGCTTACTGGGAATTTAGGCACATAAACAGATACTCAGCAGTGATAATTAATGTAGTTTATTGAACAGGTTTCAGATTAGGCACATAATTTTCAGAGCTTTGTCACTTTCTGTCTGAATATAGTGCTTATGTGCCTGGGAATTTGACTTTTCTCTTGTGTTTTATTTTCCTTTGTTCTCCATTTTGATGATAAAAGGTAAATGCAAAGGTGGGATTGTGCTGATGCTGTGGAAACATACTTCATTGCAGTTTATGGACAGACACCTCTGCAAGAAATAATGTTTATGTGATCATCTCATCTTGCCGCAGATGTTTTAGATTAAGCTTCTTCCTACACAGTCTGCACAAAAAACATGAGCAGATACTATAACATGCTGCCTAGAAAATTGATATGGAATAGAAGCTGATGTGAAATTACAATGAGCAATTTAAGTGCCGATGTGGCGATATCCAGTTGTTCGCACTTAAATGTTTATGAGCAGAGGAGGAACTGGAAACAAGGACCTGCTCCATAACCAGGTCTGCTGGGTGTCCTAAGTGGATATAAATATAAATAGCAACATATGGGGTATGGATTCATTTGTACTCTAAACAGTTTTGCAACATCTTTCTTTTGATAGAAGGAAAACAACCAAGCACAGCAAGCTTATGATACTGTGCAAATCTGTCACAGGCAAGGAAACACAGCCCTGGCCTCATCTGTTCTGAGCCTCCTCCAAAAGGAGAGGGAGAGGGCCCGCTTGGGAATTGCAGCCATGCACATCCTGTCCAACATCCTCAGGGAAGCACAGGCCAGTAGGGGATCATCAGGCATCATCAGGGAGTTCGGAGCCTGTGCTCCACAGGGCGCTGGAGCTGCCCATCAGGACAGAATCCCTGGGCACTGAGTGCCTCCTGAGCTGGCACCCAGCTGACCAGCAGCACTGTCCCTGCTGTGACCTCTGGGGAACAGCCCGTCACGTCACATCTGGGGGTTTTGTCCTGAATTTGGCCTTCAAGAATTATTTGGGTTTCGAAACTTGTGTTTTTCTCCCCTATAGATTTCCTCTCTCCTTTTCTGCTCGGCTTTTCTTTAGTTTTGGTGTTTGTTTTCTTCTGTTTTTCATGCTTTTAGGTAAAATTTGACACTTGAAGTTCATCTTTTTTAGTAATTGGGAATGTTTCTCTGGTTAATGAAGATCATGGCTAAAGTTCCAGGGTTAGATATTGTTAAAAGCTGCTCTGCCAAGTTCCTCATAAATAATTCCTAGCAGATTTCTCTTCTAGTGTTTGTCATGCTAACATAATTTCAATTCAGAAAGAAAGACAAATGTTATTAGGACTCAATGAAGCAAATGCAGGAAGGAATCATTTAACATAATACTGATAAAACTGGCAATACATTACAGGAAATTTCTTGTCAGAGCTATGCAAACATTATAAGTTTCTGCATTTATGAAATTTTCTTTTAAATCTGAAGGTTTGATGAGTTAATTTTATGGGTAGACAGATTTTTGTTGTGTTTTTTTTTTTTTTTTTTAACTTAGGGTAAGGTTCCTCAAAAGAGAAATGCTCTTTTTTGTAGAAATTTTGCAGCCTGATTATGAACTAGCAGTATTTTTATATATAATTCATAATAGCAGAGAGAGAATTTTGAAGAGATTTGAACACTTAATGTACCACTGTTACTTCATTATAATGTGGTAATTTGTAAAGCTTGTTGTGGGCTCGAGCTAATAATCGTATCTTCACCTAAGATTCATAATATAGGCAGAGAGTCTGGTAACACAGAATCTGCATTTCAGTGACTAATATCATCCAAGCTCTTCAGTGACTAGTCTCATCCAAAAAGGTCTGTTCTTTGAAGTCAGCAGATACTGGATCAGACTTTAAAGGGAATTAATACATAATTATATTATAAAAAGCTGAGATTCCTTTTAATTTTTTATATGAATACCTCAATGACCAACGTAATGGATTCCTTTTATTGTTTTTGGTTCTTTTGGGGTGGGGTGGGGCAAGGGGAAGAATAAAAGAGAAAAGTATTACTAGTGGGGGAATGGGATTTCCATTATATGAAACATTTCAAGGTTTCTGCATCCCTTTTAGATATGAACCAGTGTGAAAAAATTTGGATTTTCAGTATGTGAAATGCAATTCGGAAAATGCTCTCAAGCTTGAAATAGCTCATTTAAGAAACTTGAATGCCTTTTTTTATTTTGACTCTGCTTTAGTATGAAGTATATTTCAACTTTTTATTTTACTCTATTAAATCCTAGGAACTGGTCTATATCAAAAGAGATATAAGCATACATTTGAAGTAGTGCTTTATAGTTTTTCATGTGACAGATCTGGCTTTCTCAGTAGCAGCTTGTGCTATCACATTCTAGTTAAGCTGACACAGAGAAACATAAAGACACCTCTCATAAGAGCAAGAAGTTCTTCTGGTGCTCCTGAAATATCTCATCCTGTATACAATTTTTAGAGGAGCCATACAACATCCGACACTGCTCCTTCACCTCGTCAGACAGGGTGCCTCATCTCCCAGAAAGCAGCCTGTAAAAGTCTGTGAGTATTATGGGCCAGGATGCAGATGCTGCTCTTTCATGGAAAGATTTATGCTAGTAGAGCTCAAGAGCTCACTTGGATACCTTTGAAGAAAAGCAGCTGGAAAAACAAGGTGTCTAGGTGAATTCTTGAATTTCTTCCAGAGACAAAGTGACCCAGACTGATAATCCGTACATTCCTACAGCGGCAGGAAAATGCATGCATATGTCCCAGCAGTAATTCCCTCTCCCAGCTTTACATATTTTTTCCTCCTATTCAGACTCATAGGTGATACTGTTAAACAGGCACAAGACTTTGATCTTTCTCAGAATCTAAAGGTTTCAAACTGTAAATCCTAAGAATGCTGCAAAAGTCATTAAATGCAATACTGAAGAGTTTCTGAGAATCAAAAGATTTTGAGGTTCTACTTTAATGAATTTTCAGGCTGTTATCACTTGCACATAATCCTTTTTAATTGTCCTTCCAATTGCTTGTGAAAATTCAAATTCAGAACAGGTATTATTTGCCTTACCCAGCTTTAACTGTTCCCTTAGTAATATCTATGCAAAGTATTAATTACTAAATTGAACTTGCAAACATTTAAAAAATGGTTTCCTTCTCTCTTTGAAAGCATTTCATTCACAGCACAATTTCATTCATCAAAAGCACTGAAGCATCTCAGTTTAAATCATCTGCATATTTATTTTTTCCCTTGGCCTCCAGCTGAGACACTAAATCTTATGCTTTATTTTCAGAGTTTTTGCTGCTCTGTGGAACAGTCAGGTTGAGAATTCTCTACAGTCTTCTGGGGTTAAGGAAGATGGCGTGAAAAAGAAGCTGCAGAAGGAACACCTGTGCAACTATCAGGAGGAAATATTGTTTTGGGAAAAGAAGAATTAATTGCTGGATGTTGTGACTGTGTGGAAAATTAGGTCACCCTAGTTTTTCATACTATTTTAGGACCAGGTAACTAATCACAAACCAGTAGTGTAATAGGGTCAGAGAGTTTTTATGGGGCTGTTAGACAAGTCGTAGACACCTGTACAAATAGGAGAGCTCCCAGGATGTGTGAGCTCAGCAAGGAGGAGCTCAGCAAGGTTTTTGCTTGATATCCTACCATATAACACTTAATTTTGTGCATTTTCTGATTAATCATAAAATCTCATCCAGCTGACTTCCATAGCCAACTGGATCAGGTAGTCCTCTGTTCCATAGACGCAGAGCCTTTCCCTGTCCCTCTCCAATGGAAATTCTGCAGGAAATGTTTGATGTAAAGCATGCCAAGGTGCCACCAGTCTGAATTTCTTATTAGAATTTTAGTATTTCTCTGGATTTGACTTATTCTTTATAATAAAAATTATTTTGGTTATGCAAAACCTCTGCCCTACCTTTTCTCCTTGCCATGTAGAAGTTTGAGCACTATTGTATCTTACTGGATTATTTTCTCCTTTTTGTTTCTTTCTCTTTTCTTCTTTTTTTAATGCTGTTTTGACAGCCAGTCAATTTTTTTACCTCCCTTTGAAGAAGCTACTCAAAAGGGCAGGAGCACATGAGCTAACTTCAGGGATGAAAAAGGAGAGGTATTTTTAGAATAAGGGGAACACAAAAAAAGAACTGGTTTATTTATTGTAAAAAACTGTGGAGGTCCTTAGCTTTGAGGCAGGCTGATGGCATGTCTGCCACACTCATGACAGACACTTCAAAGTGCAGAGACATTCTACAGCACTTCAAGGAATTTCCTGCTCTGCAAATAATGCTGCAGAAGAAACACTCAAGTACAAGCAGCACAGCATTGCAGAAAATCAGGTGGGATGTTTAACAAACCTTCCAGTTTTATGAAGTAGGGGAATTCCATTAGGAGTGTGGACTATTTACCTTAACACAATCTTTCATTGATATAAGAGAAGTAGAACTTGCTCTGTAGGTTTGTAATTGCTGAAATTAATAAGTGTGGCTCATCACTCTCTGCAGTACTATACCAATTTACTGTGCTCTTTTATCTCAATTACTTTCTGTGTGCGTCTTATATTTCTCTATTAAACTTCAGTAATTGTAACACTGTGGTAATAACATTAACATACTGAGTATTATATGATGGGCTATTTTACTTTACTCTGACTGCCTTATTTACATTATAATTATTAGTGTCTATATAAATGTGATTCATTGAACTAATAAAGTTTTCAGACAACTGCCATAGCTCATTGATTTTTTTTCTGTGCAGAAATTTACCTTGCATTCTTAGTTGGATTTCCCTTCACTTTCAAGGCTGGCATTTGGACAACAAAGGCCTTCCACTTTAGCTCCATAGAAATGATACTTATTACTTCATTTTATCTTGATTTCATTAGGCTGACAAAGCAATTGAGAGGTACCAAAGTTGTATTTTCTCAACTGATCTGTTCTTTTGTTCAGAAATACTGCCAAAAGCACCCTTCTCACTCATCCTGCAGAACTGATCACCAAGTCATGATTTTTTGAAGCTTTTAAGCAAAGTAAACAGTTAGCACTCTGAATCTTAGTGTGGTTCATTAGCCATGCAGTTCTCCCCCAAGAGGAATTTGGGCAATGCCTTTTGGATGGCACAGTTGTTTCAGCCTTCTTCTATCTGCAGAGCTGAATGAGTTCATGCCTCATGCACTGTGTACCCTGTGTGTCCTGCAGGGACCAAGTCTGCAGCCAGTCCTACCACGATTTAGAAGTCAGTTAAGAATGTGATAAATGAAAATAAAACATAATCCAGAAAAAGGCACTACTGATTATAACCTCATGCTGTTCAGGTCTTCTTCATTTACTGGGGTTTTAACAAATCCTTCCAACTCCATCTAGCACGCCACCAGCTTATAACTTTTAAAACTAAACATAGAAGATTTCATGATAATAAGAAGATTAAGATAAATAACAATTATCAAAGAAATAGGTAAATACGGACTGTAAAAAGTTTAATCCATTTATGGTTCTCCTCCTGTGCCCTAGTCTAAGACAACTCAGTTGTCAGCCATTTTGTAGGAGATTGAGATTTCTCCCTGGTGCAGTGCAGTTGTCTCCAGTTGCTTTTCTTTCCAAACAGCTGTGATAAGAGGGATTTTACTCCATTGCTCTTGTTTCTCTGAGCATTTGTTGACAGTAAGCTGTGTACAGCTTTGTGGGTTGGGATAATACTATCTTATATTGTGTGTTGTATGCCCTTTGTTCTTTGCATACATTGATTTCCCTTTACTTGAGGTGAACTTCATATTCCAGCTGTGCTGAGCACGAAGGGTGTTTATTTCAGACTCCTTCCTTGCATGCTTAGCCAAGTCCTGCTGATGCTACCAGAAATTACAGAAGAACCATGTGTCAGGAGATCCTAAATTGCAATGTCTGTGGGTCAGAGATCCCAGAGCTGTGATTCCAAGTGGTGTTAGAACCCACTTCTGAAGCTTTTCGTTTTCCAGCGTCTGACTTGTATTTCAGGCATTTATTCCAGCTGCTGGAAACACTCATAGCCTGTGACACCACCTGCTGGGTATAGCCTGTGACACCACCTGCTGGGTAAGACCTCTGTGAAATGTTTATCTCACTGTAATCACAAGTGTTTTTAAGGGATAAAGGACAACGTAATTTAAATGAGAAATAGAATTTAGAGCCATCAAAAGTCTGTGTTAAGTTTTTGGTCTTTTGAGGGTTTGATACTTTTCATTAGTGGCACATATTCCCTGCTCTATTTATTGGTGCAATAGACATACATTTACACTCCCTAAGGCTTCTTCTAACTAACCACGTGGGTTGAAGCTGCAAAAAGGATCTTTGCACAAACAGTGACTGGTAAACTTTACTGTAGCAGAGATTATGCCCTACTATAGTAATATTGAGGTGCAAAGCCTTGTTATTAATGCAGACAGTTCTGAATGTACTAGCAAACAGTAAGAAAAATGGCTTTCAAGGCAATTATTTTGCAGACCATGGAATAACTGTGGTATAAGAAGCTGCTTTATCTCTGTTTCTTTTCTGTCTGCAGCACATTAATGCAGTACTTTTAGTATCTTCTCAGTGTAAAGAAAAATGGACAAAATAAGAAATTAGTCAAAGAGCAGCCACAGGGAACTGGTATCTAGGTCTGGAACTCTAATTATACTCTAGGCTTAAATGATTTGCATTTTTACTGCAAAGTAGATTGTGTAGATTGTGGATAAAAGGCTAAAGTCTAGACTAAATCCAAAGTAATACAGACCCTCTTTTTCAGGCTTTGATTCAAGAATCTGTGTTTGTAGCTGTGTAGGACTGCATAGTCATTCCCAGACTACATTGGAAAGGAATGGGAAACAATATAGCCCCTGGAATGTTAGCTTCTAGATAGGAACATGTCACAGATGTTCAGTGAAATCAAAGAGGAGAACCATGATTTGACCCCTTTTTGTAGGTGCTCAAAGGGATATGAAGGACAACTGTATTAATATTATGAACAGAAGACTCTTAAAAGGTCTGGAATGTTTGAAAGGCCAGTAACCAGGGAGCTGGTAAAAACCACCACAGGATATTAATCAGATTTCCAATGCTCGTTGCTACCATCTGGCCAGAAAATAGGTATTCCTGGGTCTGCTGGTCCTTGAAAAAGAAGCTATAGATTACTCAGTAATTCAAGTCAAAGTTGCTTCTATTTCTCCCAGGCGATTCAAACATGGTAGAATAAATCTACCCCTCTTGCAACCAAAGAGATTTGTTGTGCACTATAAACTGTCATGAAGCTCTCCAAAAGAGAATGATTAAAGCAAATCTGTAGAAAAGCTAGTGCCCCAGAAGGATTTATTCTCTTCAAATTTAAATATCCTCTTTTCACAGTGCTATCTAGTGCATTATGCAGCCCACCCACGAGTAAATATCAGGCTGTTGCACCAGGCTGTCATTTCTGGGGTCCCAAAAGCTACTGCTTTCAAGGCTTCTCCATTACTGTCCATCCTGAGCTATAAATCAAGAAAGGTGCACATCCCACTTCTTCTCAAGCTCATATAAGGAAATCAATTTTACTTCATGAAAGATAAGATTATTGGTTTGGAAGATTAATGAATAATTCCAATCACTTTATAGCAAAAGAGTCTCAGTGATTGATCCCAAACCAGACAAAAGCCTTGACCTGCATCACAAAGCTGGGATTCTGTACAAAGGGAAAGGGAGAAGGATACGTAATTTGTGTATGTCACAAAAGAGCTACACATCCAATATAAGTTGCAGTTTATGCAGAAAAGTTCCAGAAATAGAAACAACCAGTCTCTGGTGAAGCTGGAGTGCTTATCCAGTGCAAGGATCTTACTTGCTTCGCTTCCTTAGTCTTTCACAAGCACTAAACCAAGCCCTAAACAAACATTTACCACATTTGAGCAAGATACTTAAGTAGATTCTCTGATAATATCTGACAATTATTTTTATCTAGACTATTTTTCTGTGAAGATAAATTGCAATTGCCTGCAAAATTTAAAATACATTGATAATGTAATTATATTGCAGATATTTCTGCAGTGTTGATATTGTCCCTCTGAACAAAGTGATCTTTCAGGACTGTTCATTTGAATGTCTATTTTAAATAAAATAATTAAAGAAATGAATGCAAAACAATAATTTAAATACACATTTTACAGGAATGCCATTGGGTTGTCAGCTTCATGTTTAAAAATATGCATTAAAGCCAGAACATCAGAGTAATGCAATTAAGATATGGCTTGCAAATGGAGCATCTATAAGTCATATTTCGAAAAAAAAAGCTAAAGAGCCTTTAATTTGCACTAGAAGCAAGCCTTAGCTGTTGTTTGTCTGTGTGCTAATTTGGTTTGTTGGTGTTTACTTAAGTCTGAAGTATTCAGATCAAAATCCTAACTTCCCCACAATTGCGAGTATTGCTTTGTTCTTGTGCTTTTCATGTATTTGCCACATCAGTCAGCTTTTCTTTGAAGTTTCCTCCTGCTAAACTCATCCTGTGAAGACAGTTTTGCCCTCTATCACCCTGTGAATCTCACAGGCAAAATTTTTAGCATGGTCTTGAAATGCCAGCAATTGTTTAAGGCATGGAAGAAAATCTTTGGGTAAGAGAATGTGCTGGAGATGTCCATTCTCATGTAAAAAAGATACTATGGTTTATTATAGACATGCCATACCTGTAAGTCATAACAGGTAATAGACTATTGTTTTTGTTCCTGTGAAAAATAGGTTGATTCTGTTAATTCTGTGTATTACTGTATCATGGGTCCTGTAAGTGCTAAAAAGGCTGTGTAAACTATTTCCTGCAGCCACATTGGTGCAATGATATTTCCTCACTTTCCCTGTTTTTCCTTTTAGAGTGGTAGAGCATACTGTGAATTATAGGACAGGTGCAAGAGAGCATATGTCAAAATGCTTTGGCTTAGAGCACAAGTGACCACATTAATCTGATCAGATTTAGGTGGTTTAAAGACCATTCATCACTTAGAGCTGTTCTGATACTGCTGCAGCTCGAATAAGTGGGAGGATGGCCAGGATTTCCAAGAGAGGAAAAGAAAGGCGCTGTGGTTGATCTGACTCAAGTACACCTAAGGTTGAATGAAAGTCTGGTACCTGGGAGGACACATTAGTCCAGGTTTTGCCTGGAGCATGCCAGGCAGCTGAGGAACCAGATACAATCTAAAAAGCCACACCAGGCCTCCTACAGGTGTCCAGTGTGCTTGGGGTTCCATTTACCACAAACTGTTTTTAGCTTTAATGGCTTTAAATAACAATGTGTTTGAAATCTCAGTGGGCTGTAGGGTTTCAAAACCAAAATGCCAGAGGAAAGAGAGAAACTGGGAGAGTGCTCCTTCTACTCCTGTGCTTGTTGCTGTGTCTGAGAATTTTAGGTCTCAGCTCTAAAACCTCAGTGATAACTTTGCTGAGGTATTGTTTACTTGTTGAAGGATTGCTTGTTAAGTATATTTACTGATACATATCAAGAAACACTTTCATTAATTGCATGAGAAAACACCATTACACATTTCAATATTTTAGAAACTGGGCTTTCCATTTGGAATGTCTAGCTATGTATGAAAAATTGCAAGAATTGATTTGGAAGCTGAACCAGTATGTGTGAGAAGTGAATTGATGATGGGCTTCTAGAGTGTCACCTCAGAT